TGATCCCACCCGCGGTGCCTGAGCCGTGCCGGCCGTGGGGAGGGAGGGTCTCGGGGGAGACGGGGCACCCAGGCCTGGGCCCCAGGCCCAGGGGGCTCAATGGTCTGTAGGGAAATCCTTCTGCACCAGATAGGGCCCCAGCAGAAGCCCTTTGCTTCACTGCACCAGGGCTGAGCTCGTGGGCTTTGCAGCCCCGTTTCTGCTGAACACGCGTGGAGCACCCTGAGGTTCCTTCTCTCCGTGCTTGGTGTCCCAAGCACGGCGTTCCCTGCGTACGTGGAAGTGCTTCATGTAAAAGGTAGAGAAGTTTGTGCCACTTGGGTATTTCCTTGGTATTTCTGAGCAGCATGGGCACCGTGAGTGAATTTTGTGCCAGGGTTTGGTTCCTGCCCTGCTCAGGCTTACCTGGGATCTCATCAAGTGCTGCTCCCTTTGGTCTGTCCGTCACTCTGCTCCTCGTCTGGGAGCACATCCGAGGCGTTGTGCCTCTTGGGTAGGTGAGCTTCCTCCTGCAGACAGCGTGGTGCCGGATAGGAGCCCTTAACGTCGCTCAGGAGCGGGCTTGTACATTCATTCTGCCTTTTGGGACTAGATAGTAGGAGCAAAACGCTTATAAATGTCTGTGAAATCTGCTTATGGTAACTTGGAGATCCTCCTCGGCAAAGAGGAAGAGTTTCTGCTCTCCAGGGGCAACAACAATTGTTTTCTCGGGTGAAAAGCGAGGTCTGCTCAGCCCTGGACCCTGGTTTGTAGCATTGTCCAGGGAAGAGGACAGGAATACAGGAAGCCTCTGGCGATGTTTCCCCGGAATACTTTCCCGATCTCCTGGTCTCTTCCCCAGAATATTCTCTGGGGAAAATACCTCAGTTTTACGCTGCCCATGGTCAGCATCTCTGTCGGGGCTGGCAGCTGATTCAGACGAAATAGGACACCACGACAGCAAAGCGTAATTAATTCCTCACCTGACTGTGGCTCAGGGAACAATTTTTGGTGGTTCCCATACCGTAACTTATCTTTATGGAAATGATTCAGACAAACTGCCTCAAATTATCAGGTGAAGCCATTTTATAGCAGCCCGGTCAGGTGAAGGGTCTGAAGTCATCGGGGTGAGATGGCATTCGCCAAAGCTTCCACAGGAGCTCGGATGTGAAGTCATTGGGCTATTAACCGCGATGCACAACCTCAAGCTTAAACCAGCCACAGGAATCGGGAGAACCGGTGCTGCCAATGTGGCTCCAATTTTTAAGAGCTCCAGGAAGAAGCTGACGTTCGTAGGGGCCACGCTGGTAGCTCCTAACCGTGGGTAGATATTGGTAGAGCACCGTAGAGGTCGTAGAGGGAAATTGAGCCTCGTAGACCCAGCAAAGCTTACGTAGATAAAAGTAGGCCAGTAAAAATGATGCACTTGGACCTCCAAACAGTGGCGAGCTGCGGAAGGATTTGCTGGACTGAGTAGCCGTAGAGCTGGGAAAGGTGCAGGGCAGGGTGAGATCTCCTCCACCATGTCTGCCTTGCTCAGCGGCGGGAGCATTTGCATGAGAAAAGCCTGTAAAGTTTTCCTTGCGTTGCTGACGCTCGGCGTGGGCAGGAGCGGGGTCCCGTAGTAAGTTTGGACCCGTGCCGTGTGTTACAGGAAACAGCGGCTTGGGGAAGTACCACGGCAAGTTCACCTTCGACACCTTCACCCACCACCGCGGCTGCCTGCACCGCAACATGGGCCTGGAGGCCCTCAACGCCCTGCGCTACCCGCCCTACAGCCAGCAGAAGCTGGGGCTCTTGACGGCCACCTTCGAGATCAAGCGCAAGGGCATGTGCACCCTGCTCTGAGGGCTGCCCCGCGCCGCTCGTGGACTGAGGGATGGGGGGGGGGTGTGACTTCTGGCTGGGTCCCCCCGGGGAACAAAACCACCCTCCTTGGGGAGGCTGGTATCCCCCTCCCTCCTCGGCACCGATCCCTCGTTCCCTTGCCACGTCCTTCGCCCAATGCACGTCGGACGGCGGGGACGGACATCTCCTCCCGCACGCTCGCTCCTCCCCAGCTGCCTCTGCTCCGGACCGTTTGCCAGGACACATATGAAACGGCAAAAAGTTCTTTTTCTCACCCCGTACTTCTCTTCCCAGCAGAGAAACGGTCCCTGCGAGGCTGAGGACCGGCACTTAGCCCCATCTCCCGTTAGACGGACCTTTCCTTCTGGATGAACCTCGTTCTCCCTCCTCTCAGTGCCGGCTGTTGCTTTTTCCTCCGTGTAACCCTGCCTGTAGTAAAGACTTTGCATTGAGCTCTCCTGCCTGGCCTTGCCTTCTGCCTCCGTCGCCCGGCTTGGGGGGTGCCGGGCAGGAATCCGGCAGCCGAGCCCCGGAGGGGGGGCGGTTGCCCAAACCCCCAACGTCCCCATCCATCACACTGACACCCTCAGCCAGACCATCGCGTCCCGTCGGGGTTGTGTCCGCCTCCGTCACCCCCGCGCCCGGTGGCTGTGTGGCAGCGAGGTGCCCCGGGCTGGATCCGTGGCGTGTTTTGCATCCCAAGTGGTTTGGGCTGGAGCGGAGCCAGCGGTGACGCGCGGCGGGGCAGGCCGCCGGGGGGCAGGGCAGGGAGCCGGGG